TAAGAATAGTTTCTTTGTTTCATCTGTCCAAAGACATGGCCCAATGATGGCTACCTTCATATGCACAGACATTTCTTTGGCCCTTATATTTAAACTTATAGTGAAAAGATCAAATACAAACTCAACAATTTAAATCAGCTTCAGATATGATGTCTCCATTTTTCATAAAAACAAAGAGAGCACTGCCTGTTGGCCAAGTGTGCAACTACATATAAAATTATTGTTATTCTTAAACAACAATGCAAAAATTTGGGTGAAACCCTTGAATTAGAGTCGAAAGCTTTCAATCGCACATTGATTTAAAAAATCCACTGTGGTGTTGTAAAGAAGTAAAACTACAAAAATAGCATGTTTGGTTTGACAAATTATGGGTCCAACTGTATATTACAGTAAAACACACAGGTCTCATTTTGAACATATGTACTGTGGAAAGCCATTATTTACTATCAACCTGGTTGCTGGGTGATTGGTAAAAAATGAAGGCTTCTAGCTGGAATCTCAGCTTGTGTTCCTCGGTTCTTGGCAGAAAACGCGAGCTGGAGTTTGTCAGGTAAGCATCAGTAAGACATCTGTTATGTAAAAAAAATAAAGACAATTTAAAAATGAAAGCCTATGACATGATATGAGTTTTACTATATGGAAATATAGGCCTCTTTATTGAGAATTAAAGATTTAGTAGTAGAACTCACCCATGCTCAACAAAATCATATCTTAATGCTACGCCTGCATCAGGAGTTGCTGTGCCAACACAATGGTCAATGTACACTCGCAGGGGCATGTGGTTACCAGTAACAGCAGAGACTTCAAAATGAATCGAGTCACCAAGGAAATATGTATAAGACCCCCTCTGAAATGTCCAATCATCTGCAAGATGGCAACAATTAAAAAAAAAAAAAAGTACTTGTAAGCCTCTAATGAATATTCCTAAAACCTGTGATGGCATTTTAAAGATGAATCTTTGTGTGATGACGTTAAGTATGACTCTTAGCAACAGCAGAACAATGTTTCATGGCTGTCATCCTTGTAATACCGGTCATGAGATGCAGATGAAAGTCTATCTGGTCTTCTGCTGAAGCTGTTGCAACAAGTGGAACCCAGGTGGGATGCAGGGAAATGCCACCTACAGAATACTTCCTGGAAACAGACAGATTTCACACAGACACACAGATTGCCACAGCACACTGCAAACTTCTGTTCATGTGCATAGGCATACTTTTTGTAATGACATTCAACTGGAATAGCAGCTCCACCCAGCCTAAGCAAACCATGAGATGAGGGCTCAGGTGAGTAGACGAGCACATTGGCATAGATAAGCTTCTCTTTTGTGGACTGAAAGAAAATGTTAACATTTTAGTCTGCAACTCACACTTCATTTTGTTTTGTAAAAGGAGAAGCTTTTGACCAGAACACAGCAGTGACTGAGCCACGCTCCAGAGAACTAGCAGTGCTTACTGAGAGCTTTGTTCCACAATCCACCAGCTGGGCCCGGATGGTGAACTCCGCCTCTCCCGATGGGACTGCTCCGCATACTCTCTCCTCACCCGCTAAAACTGAGCCGAGTCTCAAATGTCCGCCGTCCACCTGTAGGCCTGTGTCAAACATGTCAGCCTGCACCACGACCTCCATGGCATCCGGTTGACAATTTACCGTGACCGGACGAGGGCGCTCCAGGTGCTCCGTGCTCGGTTTCTGTTTTACCGCACCAAACTGAGGCTGGATGCGGCCATATGTCCCACCCTGGCTCAAGGAGTTTGTCACGCTTGACTCGCTGCTGTGAACTAACCGGCTGCTTTGTGCCAATGCGCAAACGGAATACAAAATGATAAAGCACCAAGAAACGAGGCCGTGCAGGTAACAGTCCATGCTTTAGTCAGATTTTTGGAAGGAGTGATGAGTCCCCCGACAACACAGCCTCTGAAAGAAAAAGCACCACCCCTGTAAGTGATTGCTCTCCAACACACCTGGTTTGACTGATTATAACCGTTTCACTGAGCATGCGTGCCCGTTACTTGAAACGTGACGACACAAAAGTGATTTTTTTGCTAAACAACAAGTTTAACTAAAGTGCAATAAGTTAAAAGCTTATTTTCGGCATAATTTTATTCATTTCGATTGTGTGGTCGTTTAGAAAATATAAATGCTATTGTATATATTTTCCACCAGGTGGCACTAAAACAGCTTAAAGTCAGTTTGTCGACAGGGATTGGATGATGTAATGATGACTTCCTTCCTCTGTTTAGAAGTGACTGTTTTTGCTCTGAAGTTTGTCTTGAGCCTCACGATTTTAGCACCAATTTATTACGTCAGCTCTACTGGGATGTTCGTGAAATGACATTACTTAATAACTACCTACAGGAAATAAAAAATAGTCTGATTTAATTCCAACTGAACCTGCCAACTAAACAAAAAAAAATACATTTATAAACTAGAAGGGGCAGCAGGTGGGGCTTCTTTAACCTGGGTTTTCCCCCTTAGTCTACATTCAGGTTGCCCCATCATAAACACTTTTAAGTCTATATGAAACTTGCATACATTTACATAGTATTAAATGAATTAACAAGGTATTTTCTGCTTGTGTGGTGCTTTCTTTCCTATCATGTTATCACATGTATTTGGACCTCCATCTCATTCTATCTTCTGTGCCTGATTGTGATCCTTTTTTCCCCTTTTTAAATGTTTTTTTTTTGTCTACCTCACATGTTTCTGTGGCAAAAATGTTGCACCTCTTTTCTCAGCCTCATAAGCCACAAATGTCAGCTGTGACAATTCAAACGAACAGGGAAGGGATGCGGACGGAAACAAAGTTATATTTCATTTTCAGTTCGGTTTTATGAATAAACAGTTCGCCTTACCTCTGCTTTCAAACCATCGTTCCCACAATTAACCTGTGTAACTTTCAGGTGGCACTTTAGGGCATTGACCTGATTAAATCAATTAAGTTTGTGTTCGAGTCAAGAAAACATCAACAGCGTTTTACACGCTCACGAGTACGATGACGATGGTTTTTTAGAGTATCCTGTTTGTCTGTTGCACAAGCATGTCTAAGCAACCTACACTAAATCCAATATCGAAACTGAAAGTGTGGCATGTTCGGATTTTTTTCCCTTTGTAAATAATGAATACAGTAGTTGATATTGTGAGAAATCAATGCGCTACTGCACACACCCAGAACCCTGCATAATCTATGACATAATTTAGGAAACACCCAGTATATATCGTGTTACATGGAAGTGCTGTATCCTGAATGTCGTCACAGCCTGGATATGACTAAAACCTGCAATTATAATGGGAAATAAAACAAGCTTATCTCGGTATTTCATTGTTAATAATTTTGTGTGAACTTTTCTGTATAAATATGACACAAAACATCAAAAAGAAAGTCCTAAAAGTAAAAAAAAGGGAACAAAATTAAATAAAAGAGACAAAAACAGATTGAACATTACATATATTTAAGTGGCAACAGTATGTGAAGTGTCTGATGTACAGCCTTGTGTAGCAGTAAGTGCAGCCTTACACTTCCTGGTCAGTCAGCTCTTGATCAGTCCTGCACACTGTCTTGGAGTACTTCTAACCAATTTCAATCCATACAATGCATTTTCAGGACACTTGTTGATTTCTTCATGTTAACTGCTGACTTCAGCTCATTCCACATTTCAGTTGGATCAAGCTGAAGACTTGGTTGCAGTCTTGCTGCATGACCCGCACCTTCTTTTTTAATTGCTATAATTTAAAATTTATTCATCAAAGTACAGCTACAAAAACGAGCCCAAAGCATGATGTCACTACTATATAGCTTCACAGATGAGTGACGTTTCCTCTTCTGAAATGCAGTGTTCTTCTTTCTCCACAGGTAACACTGTGTTCATGAAGATGAATGTGTGAGGGGGTTTTAGCTGCTTAAAGGTTACCCACTGTGACCTCCCAACCCCGGAATAGGTGCTTTCCTCCATTTGCAGTAGGAAATCTGTCCAATTGTGGATTGGTTGTGTCCATACTTATCAACAACTCTGAAATCTTGTTTGTTTTTATCATAAAACACTTCCACAAACACATGTTGGGAAGATTAGATTTTTTTTCTGAATGTTTTTTTAGTAAACACAGGCTGCTGACTCATAGCTGACTCGCACCCTGCTGACTGAAAGCACCTGACTCTAATTTCACCTTTAAATTAATGGCTAATCACTGAAGTTCACACACATGTGCGTCTCACAGATATGGAAGATTGGATTTATTTATTATTATTTAATTACCTGCTTGTGGATATAGTGTTAAAATCAGAACATGTTTTAGTTCATGGTTATTCAATAATACTAAATAACAATTACAATAATGATTCTTTCTGTAAATCTTGGTCTTAACAGATTAACTATTTGATGCATTTCTTATTGCATTGACTGTAATGGCACCATAATGAAGTGTCATAATCCAGTTTTTAAGTTTAATTTAACCCCTTGGACAGATACTGATTGACTTTCCTTCTTGATATCAGACCACATTTTATTGGCATTTTATTGTCACTATTTTATCATGACAATAATAGTCACCTGACTGTCATTATCTTAACTTGGGGATTTCCAAATGAAGCGTGAACAAACACTATACTGTGGTCTCTTTGTAAATGTTCTTCATGGTGGGTTTAGTTTGCTACATGTTTATAGGAAACATAGAGCATTGTGATTGCTCTGTGGCAAAAACAAAGAAACAAAACAAAATCCATCAATGTGCAATCTACATTTTTTTGTTGTTTAAAATGTATTAAGGAATATTTTTTTCTTATAGTCCACAAATGCTTTTTATTGTTTTCAAGCTTGACCGTAAACTAACCATGTCTTTAGATTCTTATAAAGAGTTAAAGCAGTTATCTTGTTGTAACATATTTAAAATGAAAAAAATAAATTAATTAATCAGTGAACAAAAAAAAGTGTAAACCAGCAGGTAGTATGCAGGAAAAAATATTTATTCAATGATTCTTAGAATCAAATAAATAACAACACGTTCAACATTTGAAAATAAATAGTCCAGAATAAAATAAATAAATAAATATCATTTTCAAGTCAGTAAACACAGTTAAATATAAGTCGTCAATTTTAAGATATGAGTTAAGTAATTTATGAAACTTTAAAGTATATTGAAGTGTTTTCTGTCACAGCAACATTAACTGACTGTCACCGTAGTTTCTGTAATTTCTTTCTGGAGCCTCTTGAGTATTGTTCTGGAGCTCAGTGACGATTCATTTAGTGTATTCATCAGAGGTCATGTACGCAATCACTCGGTTTATTGTGATGGCACGGACCTGGAAGCCCTTCAGCACTTTGCAGAGGTGAAGTCTTTGGTCGAAGGAGGTTCTGATGTTTGCAGCAGCCTTAAAGAAACACAGAAACATTATAAATGATTTGAAACATTTATGTAATTAAATTTTGTTTCCCTAACAAGCCTAAAATTTCTTTTTCAAAATATTAATGAGAAAGACCCGAAGAAGTGTGAAATCAAGCTTGATTTAAAAATAAATAGATCTCTTACCTCTCTTAAGGTCGAATCTGATGCCGGAAATATTCCGAAGCAGTTCTGTTGAGAGCAAAAAAATTCTTATATGATATAAATAATGTAAATGTTGGTAGTTTGTGATTTCTCCTTTGTTAAGATTTTAAAATTTATTTTAGTACCCTGGCAAATCACAGTACGATAAAACAACATTCAGAGAGTAATTTTATGAAAGAGTCTGCATTTATTTATTGAGAATTATGTAAAATCACAGTAAAAATGATAATAATTGTGTACAATCACATACCTTCATGAGTTCCCTGAGACTGAACAGAAGAGTACCAACAGGCTGCGCTGCGAGGAATTCGTCATAGTACTTCAGATCCTCCCGAATGTTTTTCAAACATGAGCTCTACCGGAAAACACAGCAAGCACAACCACAATAAATGTCAAACATCATTTTAGATTTGCTTGGAATTATTTGGCTTCCATGTCTAGACCTTAACATGTTTATCAAGAATATAAAGTAAAGAAAAAAAATGATGAAGTGGCACAAAAACCTACCTGGTCAAATCCTGATGTAGTGATTTCTGAGCATGCTGATCCCTGTGGGGGAAACCCAGTTAAGTCATCAGAGGCACAGCTAAAAAAGACTTATCAAATGTTTGTTACGTCTTGTTTCCATTTCACAATGTATCCTGAAACAAAATGGAAGCAATCTGGTATTTAAAGTGGGTACCTGTGGTGCACACGCTGATGGTGTGCTGGTTTTTTTGTACAGCTCCATGTTCTGCTTCGTGCAGTCAATTCCACTAAACAGGGTTTTCTGTTTGAGGACAAGTAATATTTAATAAAATGTAAACTGTAAGAAAAAAACCCTGTGGATTTGCATTCGTTGTAGGCCTACCTGGTTGAGTACATCCGTGATGTTCTGGAGCAGTGTTCTTGCGTATAATACACAGGAGTCTTGCATTCCCATCAGTGGCACAGATTGGCTGATCTGCCATAAAGGACAAGTGAGCACTAGGAGCAGCAGTGCAGGAGTGAAGTCTAGAAAAAAAAAAAGAGAAAAATTAGATAACTGGAAAATATCTCTTGGAAGATTAGACTCTTCAATCATGATACGTTATACTCACAGAGCTTGATGAGGGGCATCTTGGTTCAGAGTGGTAAGCTGTGTTCTTTGACTGTGTCTGGCTGAGCAGTGTTTTATATTCAGACTGATGCAGGGATTTCCCTGCATCAATGGAGCAGATCCACTGTAAGTTGAAAGTGTGGGCTCAAAATTGTGTAGTTTCCTTTCTCACCATATAACCGTGGTTTGCTGAAACTAATGTCTGTTCATTGTTCGATTACCAAAGAAAACATATTGAAAGTTCATCACATATGCTCTTTTAAACTTTGATTGTGCACAGTTACGTCTAATATTTCTCAAAATATTGATCGCATCTAAGATATCATTAATCACAACTAAACTTATATAGCCTTTTAAGGATGAAAAATAATAAAAGAAAAAGGCTGAAACATTTTTTTATGTGACAAAAAACTGAAACCCCCCCCCAAAACCACTCTAAATGGTCACATTTTATTCAGTATATATATATATATATATATATGTATATATGTATATGTGTGTGTGTGTGTGTGTGTGTGTGTGTGTGTACTTCCTGAGATACTTTGTTTTGTAATATTGCATTGATTTAATTTTACTGTCCCATTTTTGGGCTTTTTTAACAGCAATGTCCCAAATTTTGAGAAAAAAAGTATAATGAAGGCTTATAATAAACAGTTAAGTGATCATTAGTTTTTGCTATAGATTATTTTCCCACTGGTTGTAACTATGTAACACTAACCAAGGTTATTTTTGTCACCACGGCTTTTTCCCCCGTTGCTGGCGGTAAGTCCTTACAAAACTTAAGTGTCAACACATCACATGTGAAAGTGTGAATGTGAATAGAAACTAGACGGTGCCCTCGCTTCCTTCCTTGTGTAGCCTGCAGTCATTCAGTTGCAGTGTCAAGGCGTGATGCTTTCCTTGGAACGTGTGGATTTTTTTTCTTCTTGCAAATTCAGAAAAAAAGCAAAATAAATCTCATGAAAGTCGACACACTTGAAACATTTATTACGGAATCATTTTTTTCTGGTCTTTTTTTTTTACAATCATTATAGAATACATGTGTTCATGAATCAAGCAATAGAAAAAAGTGACTTTGTGTTAAATGACATTCTTAAAAAGCTTAGAATTAAAACACTAAAACACAACAAGGCATGTTGTTAATCCTTTTAATAAAGTATATTTTAACATTTACATACATAAACATTTGAAACAGATAAAATAGATATACGCTTAGGCTGCGATTTATTAATATATGTTTTACATTTGTGTTTACCATCTCTGATCGTTATTAAATTAAGAAAATGGAATTGCATATTTCTATTAAGAGACTATCTGTGTGGAGATGCCTGTTCCTTTTTACAGCTTTGTGTAAACTTTGAAAAAAAATGAACTTTTTGTGTCTTCTACTGAGCAGATCATCACATTTGACAAATACAGATTTGCCCAAATAAAGGTCAAAATACTGTCCAGTAAAGCTCTCAATGTCTTTAAAGGAGGTGGAAACTGTAGCAGCTATTTAATTATATTAAGGTTTGAGTCTTAAAGATTTTTTTAGGAACTTTCTGGAAAGCAGTTGCTTAAATGTAACAAATACAGAGTACTTATCGTTTCCTATTATACCAGATCAGGTATGTGATGCTTGATAGTGAATGAGAGTGATAAACGGCAATGTCACAGTGCTTTTAGTGAAGTGAACGATATACAAGTGAACAGAGCATTTCTAAGAACCCTGTTGATTATTAGAGCCAAACAAAAGACCTCAAGATCTCAACTCATCATCCTTTTTCATTAAAAAAAAAAAAAGAGACACAAGGCATGGTGGTGCTCTCTCCAACCCAGCCGTGCCAAAATCATTGAGTGCTAAATAAAGATCAGGGACGGAATCAACTCGACTCCCCTAATTTTATGAAATATGACGGGGACAATCATGCTGAGTGGAAGTGGAACGCCTGCACAAACTCATCTGTCAATACTGAAATTGGTGATCTTACACATGTAGATGTTGTGTTTTGAGGTTCTAAGATGTGGCGCAACGTATCACATGTGTCTTAATACTACTCTATATGCTGCATTCAACTCTCCAGATACAGTGAGCACAGATGAAGTTTCATTAGCAACACTGGTAGCAGTCCGTAGAGTGGGAAATCGGACGGCGTGCATACAGACACATGTGTAGACAAGGTGTTTATTTAGAGATGCCTTTCTCTGGCTGGTGCCGCTGATGGCTATGTGCATGCCTGCCATAACAAACAAGAAGAAATATGTTAAAGTGAGTCCAGGACATACTGTGAAGTGACAGCGCTTCCAATACCTTTGACAGCTAAGAAGCTGAGGTGGAGAAAAACTGTGGTTCACCTGGTGAGGTCCTCTATGTCCACTAGCATAGCGTCCTGCTCCACATGCAGCTCATCCCTCATCAGCAGCAACTGTACCAGCTCCTCATTTAGACCTGTTTGAAGATACAAATCCAGTCTTTGAATGTTTGTTTCCCTTGTATGATTGTATTTTATCGTGCCAAATGTGTGCTTTTGTTGTGATGATGTTAGACAGAAATGTGTTAAAAAATAGGAAGTGAGGAAGAGAAAAACAATCCCGAAAGATATCGTATAAATTCTTAAGTGGACTGAATGTCTTTTGATACTTTATTTGATAGAAATAATAGCATAGATGGCATGAATAAAAATATTAAAATCTGATAAAGTACAGATCAGGCTTTTGGCTTGGTTTTTAATAACTAATTTGTGTCTTTATGCGTGAGTCATCTACTCACTCTGAATCTGTGAATGCAAATCATTCGTGATGACTTGCAGCTGTCCAAGACTCATGTCTCTCATGTCCCCTTGCCTCAGATTCCTCTTCATTAAACCCTCACTGATGTGGGGCAAATGGGGAAGCTGCTCGTATAAGCACACACAGACGGGAAATTACTGCACGTCAAAATGTGTCAAACATTTGAGTGTAAATAAAGACTTAAAAAGTGTTGTTGATTATTAATCAACTGGATCTCTGGATTTTTACATGACGCAGCCTCTAACTGCAACTTGCAACACGTCTGTTCACCAGTTTCAGGGGCTTTCTCATGGTAACATGCACCCACGTCTCACGTACACATAAAAACTTGAGTGTTGACCTCTTCATGTGCCTATGTAGTTTTATTATGTCATATTTACTGAAACACCAACTTACATTCCATTTTCACTTTATTTTCCTTGATATTTTAGTGCCCTTAATAATTTCCTACGTTGAATTTTCCATGGAAGAGGGAATTAAGACCTCTGTGCATAAAACCCCTCTGACTCACCAAGTCAGCCACAGGTGAACGTCTGTGAAGCTGAATTTGCCTCTCTACCTCCACCTGCATGCGGGCCATGGGTCGAGCCAAAGCCAACGCCACCCGGGCCTCCTCTTGCAGCCTTCGCTGCACTCGCCAAAACCCACCGCAGTCATCTAAAGGATCTGAATCCTCCTCTCCAGTATCCCGGTCCGACAGAGATGAGCTCTGCTTACTCTGTATAGGAAGTGAGCGATACTGTGATGCAACAACAACTGCGGTCACCTCACGAGTGGAGTGGAACAGAAACACACATAAAACCCACATATGGTGACACAGAGAGACTCGGACACATACCACAGGTGACAGCGGTGTGTCTAGGCTGGTCTCTGTCCTGCTGTCTTCAGCATCGCTGTCCTTGTCGCTGCTGCTGTCATTAACAAAACACACCTGCAGGTTCACCCCACTCTGCAGCCTGAGAACACAAATGCAATATTCAGAGGCGCTCAGATCGCACCCGTTTTAGTCAGAATCACACATTAGAGAGCACAGGCCAATGCTGTTTGCACACAAGAAGCAAACACCATTTAAAATGCATATAAGCATGAAAAGTGGTAAGGCAAAGAGTGAAAACAGTTCATCTATTCTCTTCCGCTTAGTGAAAACAGTCACTTAAAAAAAAAAAAAAAGACAGCGTCAGAAGAAAGTTTCACAGTTTGCTTATGAGTTGTGATTCTGAGGAAGACCAACTGGATTTTTACACCACAACACAAAAAGTCATTTGCATTTGTTTAGTTTCTTGTCTATTTTCTTTGTTTTCATTTGTTTAGGGCAAAACTTATAAATGCATTTGAAAAAGTGAAAATCAGACAATAAAGGTTATGTTTGAGTTATTTCATTTGATGCTTAGCTAAGTCTACAGGCCTATTTAATCTTGCTATGTGTTACGCTTTGGTGTCCTGCCTGTCAATGTATCTGAATTTTGAAGTCTGTAACTCAGTGTAGCAAAACAAAAATTTCCTGATTTTTCCAGCTGTTAAAGCTTCCCAAGATGTTGCTTCATTACAATGGCGTGGTCCACACATTCATTCTCATATTAACTCATAATTAATCTAATCAACTGTTTTTGCTGGCTAACACCTGAATGCGAAATTGGCTAACAATAATTCACATGATACTTTGGACCAAATTAATTCATTTTTGTTGACATTTGTTGGATTCACATGTCAGTGATGCAGTTTGGGTACACATTGGTTTGGGCTGGTCAGTTCACCTAAAATGAACCAAAACCAACATTTAGAACCTCTAACTGATTTAATCTTACGAATGTCGGTTATTTTTTAAAATTATTTTTATTTTTTTGTCAATACAGAATTCGTTTAAAGCACACTCTGCCCTGTCCAGTCTGCCACATGGAAGCATCATGTAGGAAAAGTTAAACATAGGGCCAAATAAAATTAATGTGTCCCTTATTTGGAGACATTTTTGGCTACAGGAGAGTCAACCTCAAACAAAAAGAAGAAAACTGAGAGAAAAGTGGTTGAAGCGACAAACAGAAATACCGCCAGTATATTTCAACACTTGGAGCACAACAATATTACATTAGCTAACTGCTCAAGCTTTAATTAATATTAAACATTTATTTTAGCAGCATATTTACAATAAAAAACCTAATTAATTAATCGCAATCAAGGTAAAATGTTTGCCCACTGACTTTGAATTTCTGCATATATTCATATTTCCAGTGGTTCCTCCATATTGGAATTTTTGGCACATCCCAAAAATTGTTTAGCTAGATCCAAAGATTTAATCACAGATATGGAAACAGCATAGTAAAGCATAAAGCCTTTTATTTATTCAGATTTCTGTTACTTTAGGTCACACAGCAGGTTAGGATAGTATTCATTATGAAACAATTCATCCGACTTTACAACAATGTGGGCAAAGACTCTTTTTCCCATTTCATAAACAAGGTCTTTAAAAATGGTCGGTAACATCTCTTATACAGAAGTGAAGGAAAAAAAAACCTTAACCTCAGCCTTTCCAAGGGTTCAAAACACCATTTATTCAATTCCAGATCATGATACTGAAAGAACCTAACAACCCAAAGTAACCTTCCCCTACACTAAGACAAAAACAATTACTTAAACAACACCTC